CATTCATCTATTCATTTCAATGCTTTGAGGGCATCTGGTGGCAATGAAGCATGAGCAGATGACTGATCAAAGATGAACAGACTGATACAGTCTGGGTGCTGATCTTCAAAAATCTGAAACTGTGCAGTATCCCACCAAGAATCTTTATTAAATCCAGGACAGGTGATCTCTCTTGCCTCTTCAATGTCATTTCCATCATGATCACATTGTGCGATGTCGATGATAAGAACTGTTATTAGAAAACCACACACAAAAAAATAAACTAACACACAATCCTCCTAGATTCCATGGAACTTGTATATGGGCTTTGCCTCCTAAACAGTGGGGTGGTCTGGTTGTTCATGGGGTGGTATGTATAATGATTCTTCAAAGTAAAACCCAGGGATGTATGGGTGTGGGTTTTGAGGAGGAGGGATAGTTGGAATATAGAAGATAGGGGCTTTGTAATGAGTATGGAAAAGCACTACCTTGCTAATTATAGCACAAGGTAGGTTTGAGAACGACAATATGACAAGGTTCCCAGTGATAGCAGGCTCCTGATACACAGACTATAGTGCTCAAAAGGACTCTAATCAAAAGGCATGACAATGACTTTCAAAAGTGACGAGTGACAATGACAGCAGTTAACAGTGGTAGCAGTGGGAAGTGTTGTGACCACACTGGATCACAAGCAGCAGAGTAGTGAACTTGAATTTAGAGAAGAAGTCTGGAATGGAGTTCTTGTTTTTTTTTACAAGGTAAAATACAGGGGTTTATATAGTAAAAGAAAAGTAGGCTATGCACAGTGTAGGCATGCAAAAAGAATGAGAAAGAACATGAAGGAATGTACGCTGACAAATCCTACATAGGTAGTACAGAATAAGATCGTCAAAATAGAAAGAGATAGAACAATGAATGCTGTGTAAGTAATGTCACAGGTTTGTACAGCCATAAAAATAAAGTCCAAAAGCAGAAAGAGAGCAAGAAAATCATGATGTCATAGGAAGATGCAGTAAAAAAAAAGGCAAGGCAAAACAATATCAGTATCAACACAGTTCCTTTATTGTCAGTCAGGCATTCTAAAAAAAATATGTGTCCATAAAAATGATTCAAAAATCAAAAATAATCGCACTGTAAATGAATGTTCTGCTGAAAAAAAAGAAACTGGAGCCACCAGTCCACCATCTAGTCCAAATCTGACAGTTCCATGGCTTTACCAATGGACTGGTTATATTGGACCACCTGGTTAAACGAGGAAGGGAGGGGAGTAGTTCCAATTTGGAACAAGTGAGTCCCAGGCAGCGTATGGTAGGTGTAGCTGTAGCAAAGACAACAGATAAAAGATAAGTGTACCCAAGTGAATGGGACGGCAATGTACATAGGCGACACAAGGGGATGAACCTTCTCCAGCTCAAAAACTACCCACCCATGCTCCAACCAGGTGAGACGAGTGACCAATGTTTTGATGGTATACAATGGAAGATTGACATCATGAAGATGGACCTGTTGCCCAACTTGGACTGGCCGCTGGGGCTTTGCTGATATCAGCAGTGGCACATGATGGTTGACGGATTGGCAACAAAAGCGGATAGAGGGTGGTGACATCGGATATGGTGGGGGGGCAAGGGGGATGAGAAGAAGTCGACATGTCGTTGCAAAACCAACCTGACATCAACACTCTGTTGCACAACATGTGTGCACAGATCTTGGCGTTAACTACACAACTCGCCAAGATGCAGGCACAACCCCCTGCAGCAACCCCCTCGGTCGAGAAAAAGTTTAACAAGAAGGTCGAAGTTGTTGCTGACCCCGGCGCCTTTGAGGGAGACAGAGCGCGATTCGCCGAGTGGTGGATCAAGCTCCAGATTTGGGTCAAGGCAAACTGGGATGCGTTTGCTGACGACTTTAAGGTAGCCACTGCAGTGCTATCTCGACTAAAAGGACCTGTGGCGGGTCGATACGCCCAAGTCAGAATGCAGGAGTGCTACACTGCGGGAGTGTGGCCTACCTGGGACAATCTTAAAGTGGAGATCGAGAAATATTTCAAACCGCAAGCTGAGCGTGACTGGGCGCGTCAGCAAATCCGTTCCTTCAAACAAGGAAACATGAGGACGGATGACTTCGTAACCCGGTTCCTGGCTCTCTCTATCCAAGGGGGTCTAGGAAATGAGCATGCAGTAGAGCTGCTGGAAGGCAATGTAAACCCCCACATTGCAGAACAGCTCTATCTGCAGGATATGAGAAGTGACAACCTCTCCCAAGCAGTGGAGGAGGTACAAAAAATAGGTAGGGCCATAGAGCTCTACAAAATGCACCAAGGTGGCGGGTCCACCACCAAAAACAACTATTCCCAGAGGAGCCCTGGGTCATCAAACCAAAACCAAAATCACTCTCACAGGTTCCAACCATACAGGTTGCAACCAGGACGGGGTGCTCCTATGGATATCAACGCAGTCCAAGGCGGACAAAAGCGCAGATTCACCTGCTTCAGCTGTGGGAAGGAGGGGCACATGGCCCGAGATGGTACAAACAGAGTGCGGGCCACTCACCAAAAAAATAACCAAGGACGCCAGGCGCGCCAATCAGAAACAGAGAAACTGGACAATCAGCTCCAGACTCTAACCGGTTGTTCGTATGACAAGATCCAGGCTTTCTTCTATGACCAACAGGTCAATGAAATAAAAGCTCAGGGAAAAGAGTTTGGAGCTTAGGTCACTTGGGTGCCTTCGCTCCTTGAAACAATGAAGTAAACCACAATAAAGTGGCCCCTGCTCCGGGGTGTTGCACGAGCAATAATGGAAAGAAGGGGATGGCTCCCCAATTTGTAAATAGATTATTAAATTTGTTATCAGAAGTATGTACTTGTATGCGAAATTGTGACTGTGGATTTGTCTTGGACCCTCCTGACAATATAGCTGCTTTGAGCACTGATTCAGTGGGTCAAGATGATGAAGGAGTTAATACTAAAAATACTTACAAAACCACCGCTGTACCAGCGTCTCCCTTGGAGCGTGGCCCCGGCGAGACAAACACTAGGGTGCTTAATTCTGGTAAAAATAAAATAGAAAAACATGTTTCTTTTGATAATTCTTCTTCTTCTTTGGAGCCACTTCCCACAGAAATCCTAAGGCATGTGTTGATATGCACGTATTTATTCCAAAAGGAGATCTGTTTAGACATTGGTGTGGAAAACCTTGCCCGGTGTCATGCACCAAAGTTGATTGGTAGCATGGACAGGTGTCAATAACAAAGTGAATATTCAAAAAGACTTGCCTTTGCGCCACACAGGCACGGTGCCACATAAAATAGTAATTAATATTGCCTTTTTTGAACTTGTGGCTGATCAGCACCACCTCTATTAGGCAATCCAGTCACACTCACCTTTGCTTTTCCATTCGGTACTTTCCGCATTTCTGTCAGGCAACAAATACGAAGCTATATAACAAAGCACAATGCCTGGTCAAGTCCTTGCTGGAAAGCAGTGAATCAGGGTATGAGAATGAAGAGTATCGGTATGAGCGCAAATCCAAACTAATATTGAACTAGAGAACAATACATCGAGTATGTACTTCTTTATGTAGTGAACGGCGATGGTCAGACCAAGAAAGGGAAGAACTGAGAAAGTGGTCTGACCAGCTAGCTAACCAATAAGAAAAAAGGAGAAGGTGGTCCGATCTATTGTATTTACTAATCGTATGAGAAAACGTATTGGTAAGGGATGTACAATTGGCTGTATCAGTAAGCCCATGAGAAGGCGCTGACTCACAACCTTCTTCGCTTATCAATATTCCTCCGAAGTATTCCCAGACATAGCACTGGATCGTGGCTTATGTCATCTGGATATCTTCTCGAGGGTCGACAACAAGTCTACCTCGTCGTAGGTATGATAGGACGTGAGTGTGAATAGAAAATAAGAAGAAAAAGGATAAAAGTAATAAGACACCTGCGGTAATCTCTAGTCCGAGGGCAAGAGGAGTGACGGGGATCGAGTCTGCTAACCACGACATGACGGGAATCCAATGTCTCCGTCACCCTGATGATTGATAAGAAAGCGAAAAGGTTAACCTACATGCTTATGATGTGAACCTTTTCTGATGTGTTCTTCGCTACAGCGCCTTGAGCTTACGATTATTTGGGGAAGACATTACGACAGCTGCACGGGAGGCAGCTCAAAAAAAAGGGCGTGCTGCTCCCGAAATTGAAACAGCTAGAGACTCGGAGGAAGTTCAGAAGCCTGGGGAAGATGACAATGCATTACAAATGGATAGTAGCTAGAGTAAGATGGCGAAAGCACATAGAAAGCAAAGCAGATAGAAGTTACAAGGAAGTGATTAACGACTGTATCCATGGGTTGTTTTCTATCTGTGGTCGATATTTTTCGACACATTGCCTAAGCTCTTCTAGTTGCGCTGCTGAGGTTGAATCATCTGACATGATCACGTCGCCATCGGGTTCTGAGGTTTTGCTCGCCCAATTTTGTAGTAGTTCCTCTATGATCTTTATGCCATTTTCGGTTACCGCAGGAGAGAACTGGGGTTCAGTCTGAACTTTATCTACAAAGCAGACTTCTCAGGACCAAGGGGGGGGGGGGGAGGTTTGATGTCAGCGTTGCTTACCTGTGCCAAAATCCTCTAGTTCATCTGCCTTGCGTTTGGCGAGCTACGAAGAGGTTTAGTAGGTAGCTTGATAACAGAGGGAAATTTACAGACTTTTACGACATTCTCGGGGAAATTGGCCAGCTTAGCAACGTGTATCCCAAAGCTCTGGTCAGAGACACCTGCGAGAATTCAGCGTGGAATGAATTAGATAGTTGCGTACTCACCAGGTTCTACTTTATATAGTAGAGTAATGTCTTGGTTCAGCGACGCTACCTCGTCGTCTCCTTGCGTGACATGAGCAACGACGTGAAGATTTTTGACATGGGAAAGCTCTTGATCTAGAGCAGTGAGCTCATGAAAATGCGTGGCGAATAGACAGAAAGCGCGTATTTGCGATGCTATGTGCCTAAGAAGAAGTCGACGAAAGTCAAGAATCAAGATATCCGTGAACCTTTAACTTACTCTGAAATTGCCCATGCAAGCCCGAAGCCATCGTAAGTTGAGGTGCCTGTATTTGGCACATGTT